AAACTGTGATGTTCTCACATTCTCATGATAACTAGAAGATTTGGGACATAGAAACTGAATCTTGGACTTAGACCCGTGTGTCCTGTCGACTGGAGTGAGACACGCCTGCACCCTCCACTTGTTTCTCTGTACATTCCTCTCAGATCGGGTCGGTTCAGGGAATCTGAGGTGTCGTTCACAGATATCAAACCTTTGTTCTAAAGTTAAAGGCAGCCGTTATTCTATTTGTGTATTTCAGTGAGAAGTTTATGGTGAGACTGAACAAGAACGGAGGACCAAAGAATCCAGAGAAGGTGGACAGGCTGTGTGCCCTCTTTACGGTAACACACACACACATACATACAAACATACAAATATAAAACATGCTTAAAATTGCAGGTAGTTTAAGGAGAGTACATTTGTAGAACTGGGAGGAAGAATAGAATAAAAGTAAGGATGCATTGCCCCCTATTGCTCTGATGTAGAATCAGCGTGGAGAGGAAACAGCTTCAGTCACAATCAGGAGGGTTCAGCCACGACAAACATATTTTCACTGCTTTTAATGGGAGGCTCTTTAGATAAAAGCTCCTCAGGTTTCCTCAAGCATTAGTATGAGTGCCTCAGGAAATGGAAACCCCATTTAAGATAATAATGTTTGATTAATACAGCACATTTAATGCATGACACACACCAGGTTTGAGTAAGGTTGATTCACTGGTTACGCAGACAGATAACAATACAGGAAACAACGTAAAGAGACAACAACATACAAGGCACTATAAGTCTGTTGGGAAACCCATGTGGTTTAGGGGTTAAGATGTCAACAGTGAACCGTGTCTGCTAAAAAAAACATGAAATCCCCCAAGAAATAATATCAATTTGAAAAAAGTAGGCAAAAGATAGAGATGGGAAATCCAGAGGAATTTCCAGTCGTGCATTTATACATTGTAGGTTTGAACATTAATCTTGATGTTTGCTGCTTCTCCTTCTCTTCTCTCTGGAGTATGATTAATATCATAGAGCAGGAAATTATTAGCGCCGTGTTTGAACTTACATTTTCAGTTCATTTCTGTCTGTCTTTTGGGCTCTGCAGGACCTAAGCAACAAAGACATGAAGAGAGATCTCTACATCATCTCCCAGGTCATCAGAACAGGTAAGACTGGAGTGATTAAGATATGCAGTGTGACATACAGGAGGCAACACCTACACAATGTCATACAATCCTGAAATAAAAGAGTTTTGGTTGAGACTGTCAGAGAAGTCCACCGGTCATTTTTGACTTCTTCTACACTAGACTGTGATTAATAATTTAAAAAGTAAGGAAACCTCACAGTAACCACCATTCATTCATTCATGTAAAAAAGATATACATACACAGTTTATAGTTTCAGCTTTTTAAATCTGTTCTCCTTATTTGTAATCGTTTACTTCCAAGTCATTTGTGTGCTGCTGAATGAACTGAAAGGGTCCTAGCTTATGTCCAATATTTCTCACTATATAACACACACACACTTCCTGTTTCAGGTCGCATGCTGTTGAATGACAGTAAGAAAGGCCCTCCGCACGTTCAGTACCGCCGACCGTACGGCTGTGCCGTCCTCGCCATGAGTGACGTGCTGCAGACCATCTCAGAACTCAAAGAGGAGAAAGACTTTGTCCTGAAAGTCTACACGTAAGTGGCTGCACACACAAACACATACAGTACAATAAATATACTCAAAGTACCTTACAACCCTGGTTGCCAACCTGAGGGTCCCGACCATCACTAGGGGTCCTATTAAGCCTATTAAATGTGTATGAATGTTAAATGTATGTATTTTAAAATACATAATACAGATAGATCTTTTAATTTATTAAAAGTTCCCAAAAGAAAAATAATATCGTGATCAATATTCACAAGAAATAAAAATTCATCCCATAAATGCTATTTTTATAACATAAGATAAGATATTACACTGTCTTTTTTTACCTTATGTCCCTGTAGTATATCTACTGCCAGTCCTCCATGTAGTAACTGAAATGCTGCTGAAAGTTTACTTATAACCAAGCTACCTTCTGACTTCTGAAACTCTCTGAAACAGATTTTATACAAAGCTGAAAGATGGACTGAGTCACCGCATAAAAATGAATCTGATACTGTAGCACTACCAGCAGCTGAACCAGACGTTAAACGTAGCTCTGGGAGCAAGAACTCGCACCGAAATGGGTTCATAAAATCACAGCTCCATTCATTTATAGATCACAGGGTGACATCCCAAATGTGAGGGTCACACTTCTAGTTTGGAGCTTCACAACTGTACCTTTTAACCTGACCTCATAAACACACACACACAGGGCTCCATGAGAAAATTTTTTTATTAAAAGAAGATCTTATAACTGAACCTTTTGGGGCAGAGCAGAAAAGTAGTTTGGAGTGAGACTTGTTCAAAATGAACGTGAGAGAAAGGTCAGAGAGAGAAAATGGGCAGAAGGTTAAAGATAAGAGACAATAAAGAGGGTGGCATACACAATCTTTTCATCATATCTTTACTCTCATTCTTCTGACCTTTTCCTCTCTCTCTTCCCTTTGTCTCTTTACTCTTTACCTCATGTAACACTTCACCCTCTTATTTTCTCTTTCATTATGTAAAGGAGAGGAAGGAGAGAGAGAGAGAGTTCCCATAAGCTACAGACAGCCACTTCTCTATTTTGTCACAGAGTCGTCTCTGCAGTCTTATAATGCCATCAGCACATTCTTGTCACACATACACACACACTCCCACACACACACACAGACAGACACACACACACACACACACACACAGTCGATGGCAGACATTAGGGAATCCCCCTCGGCTGAAACTTCTGAAGACTTGCCTGCAGGAGCCCCACAGTTCTCACAGTCACAACATGATGTAACTGTGACTGTGTGTGTGTGTGTGCGTGTGTGTGTGTGTGTGTGTGTGTGTGTTTGGTGCCTCGCAGCAACCTTAGTTGAACTCCTGAGGATGCTTCATGCTTCATGGGTGGTTACACATCCTCTCAGTCTACCTCGGGCAGGCTGCTTCTCAAGCTTCTTGTGATGTCGATATGACTGAAAACGATAAAATGTTACTGACACCACACGACGATTCAGCCAGAAACAAAACAATAATAACTGCAATCAGCCAGTAGCTCTGCTCCTACTGGCGCCATCTTCTGTGCTGCTTCAAAGTCCAGCGAGCCCTTCTGTTTGACTACAGTAGGGCTCATATGCTGTTTTAGCTGCAATTATATAATATTAACTGTACACACTTTGTTACAATCTTCTCTACATGAAGCATGAATCAACCTTTTAATACTTTTGTGTTATGTTATTTTAATAACAAGTAGTAGGTCTACTATTTCTTATGCAGTATTCAGAACATTTAAGTTACGATCTTAATTAACCCTGTCTATGATTTTTTATTTCTATTGTCAATGTGTTAGGGTTAGTCACAAAATATTTTTCTGCTTCATAAGACCTGAGGTTTGTTGTTGTTCTCCAGGTGTAACAATGAGAACGAATGGTACCAGATCCACGAGAACATCATCCGGAAGTCCAGCACCAAATACACAGCTCCCAGCACCAACTACGGTAGGATGGACAGAGCGTGTGTGTGTGTGTGTGTGTGTCTGTGTGTGAGTTTATCTTGAGCATGACTGACAAGTTAGTGGAAAGTTAGTGTCAGTGTGCGAGTGTGCAGTTCAATGATCTATGTGCTAGAAAACAAACAAACAGCATCAAATGCATGTGTTTTAGAATGATGGGTACATAGTACATAGAAACAGCACAGAAATAACCCTCTCTGTATATTATTTTAAAGGTTATATGTACAACATTGCCACTAGATGTGGTATTAGAGTACCAGCATCTCAGAGTTAGCTAATGCTTAGTGACAAATGAACTGTCAATCTCTGTCCTCTAAAAGTGTTTGTTTCTGCCACTGACAGACTCAGGTTGTTATTGTCAGTGTCTGACAGCATTATGAAAGGATCCCTACAGAGATAGACCTTTTTTACATCAGAAGCCAAAGTGACCAAATGTAACATCTAAAGAAGAGTGAATACTCAACCACTGTGTAACAGACATATTGATCGCTGCCAAATAAGTATTGATGATCTCAGCTGTGGACTTTGATGAGCTCATTTATAGTTTTAGAAAATGTGTCTCAGTAGTTTTTATAACTCTGTAGGCTCCAAACCACACCTACAAAACATGTATCACCTGTCTGACAAGACCTCTCCTCCTCCTCCTCCTGCAGCTGAGCAGTATGCCTCCTGATGCCTGCAGCGAGTTCAGTTTCTCCAAAAAGGGTCAGCTGATCATGAGCGCCGTTAATCCCGCCAGCAGCTCGGCCCCGCCCACCCTGTCCGCCTCCTCCTCCATCCTGACCAATGGCTCTTCTCCGCCCATTCATCAGACTCCGCCCTCGTCTGACCTCCTGCAAAAATGGATCTTCGGCGCCGCTGAGGTGGGTGGAGCCACACAGAGACACACACCTGCACCAGCATGCATATAAACACAACTCCTGACCTGTGTGTGTGTGTGTGTGTGTGTGTGTTGGGCGTGGGCAGGGGGCGTGACACAGAGCTGGTCACTCTGACCCGGCCTCTCTCTGGAGGTCTGGGCTTCAGCGTGGTCGGTCTGAATCCAGCAGGAAACAGCTTCCAGGGCGTCTTCGTCAAACACATCCAGCCTGGAGGCGTCGCACACAGGTTCCTGTCCCGCCTCACTCAAAACTCTGTTTATTAGAAATCTTACAGACTTTAAACATTTAGTTTTCTTTCCGTCCTGGTAAGACTGTGAGGGTACATTGGGCTAAAACATGTCTGACTGCAGTACACTGAATATTGTGTTACTTTCTTTAGGTAGCTGACTGGTTTGTCTACTAAAAGTTAAAGCTGCTGATGCATTTTGTTGAAAGACGTTGGTCTGTATGAAAGTCCTGACTGGTGTTGTGGCGGCTGCAGGGACGGGCGTCTCCAGGAGCGGGACCAGATCCTGGTGATAAACGGCAGCCCTCTGGAGCCGGGGATCAGCCAGCAGCAGGCCCTCGCCCTCCTGCAGCAGCCCGGAGAGACCGTGGAGCTCGTGGTCGCCAGGGACCGCCCCCTCAACGCATCACCACAACCTGCCGCCAACGCCGCCATCAGCACGGTAAGAAATCATCACAGAATGATTTGACTTTATTTTATTCGCTTACTTTGGACAGAAACATGCTAGCTGTTTCCCTCTGCTCTAGAACATAGCTCTAGAGTTTATA